CTTGGCTTACATCAGAATCAAACTTTTTTAAATTTTCAGGCGCACTTGTTTTTGGCTAAAAATACTACGCCTGAGGTGATAAAGATCCTGTGTTCGAATCTGGCCAGAAGTTTTTTTATTCAAAGAGAAAAATTCTGCTTCAAAAATTTTCGTTCTGTTGCGTGTCTGCTTATGTTTGGTCGGCTTGGTTGCCTTGTTACGAATTATTGCTGGGCTGTGAGTAATTTTGTATTGTAACTGAAACAGTTTTGATTTGTTACTGTATTTTTACTGTACACTTACTAGGTTTTATCAAGTCGGTGACCTAGTTAAGCGTTGTCTTTAAAGAAAAATAGATTTTTACGCTTTTGTGCGTTAGGGAAAAGCGTAAAAAATTAGATTTTTGGAACTTTCAAATGTGGTTCAATTGAGAACAATTTCGCTCAACCAGAATCTTATCAATTTTTGCGCCTAATTGCCGATCAATTTTTATATCTGAATACTTATCAAACGCCAGTTGTTGTGATTTTAAATTGAACATCATTCCAGACAATTTTCTGAAATTTTTGCAGTTATGGTTTCATCGAAATGTTCTAATTGTTTTTCGACTTTTTGTTTTTTGTTCACTTTTCTGTCTGCTAGCTTGCAATGATATGTGTGCGTGCACATAGCATTGCATTTCGTTGTTGCATTGTTTCATCAAACTAGGTCGCCTGTTCTTTAAAGAAATATCCAAAAAATAGAAAAAATGAAAAACAAAATTTATGTCTCTTTTTAATGTTTGTAGTTTAAGATTTCTTTGTAGTTCAAAGCTTTCCCTTTTGGTCCAAACAGACCACAATCTGCACGACTTAAACCTTTCGTAAACTAAACTCGAGTTATTATTGCTGTACAAGTACCTCAGGATGTTTTGAGGGAGGGTTCTTCAATGTTTGCGTGCTTGTTCGCGCTGTTGGATGAGCAGGGTTTGTACTAAATTTTATTAGTAGCTAAATTGTTGTTTAAAAACATTTAACTTACTAGATAGCCACAGAATTGACAGTTTAATCACCAAAAACATCCCTGAAAACAATCATTCTGACACCATTTTTCCACAAACACAGGAAAAAATGCAGCGTTTTTGTTGCAGGAGAAATCTAAACCGATCAAGATTTTTTGATCGCTTCTACTGATAGACCATGGTTTTGCAGTACTTATTTTTTGCCTAAAAACCGACAAAAGTCATAACAAGATCTTTGTTAGAAATGTGAAAGATATAAAGAATTTAAAGACATTCTTCCACAGAATAGACAAAAAAGTACTTAAAACGAGTGAATGCTAAGTGTGGCAGAACAAAATGTTAGTTTCCACTCGAATCAGAGCTTTCCTCAATTGTACTTTTAAAAAAGAGAAAACGATTTTAGTGAGCTCTGCATCCTCACCCATGAAAAAGATAAGATTTTCATGCAGATACTCTGTGGTAATTACATTCAAGAGGAGCAAAATGAAGAAGAAACGCTTTTATAACTGAGAAATTTTGACAATTCACAAAAATTTGGACATTTAAGAATTTTTTAGTTTTTAGTTTTTTTTTCACGTGAAATCATTTTTCTGTAAATCTTGTATGCTGCCTAATTCAATGCGCGTAAAGATAACATTATGAGTTGACCTGCATTCGATACAATTGCAGAAAGGAGACACCACTCGATAGATTGATCAGCCTATGTAAGGTTTTCACAACTTGTTACTACCTGCCTATTTTTAACGCTTACGATTCTGTTCTAGTCATTAAATTGAACATTTATTTCATTTTTGATTTATAATTTTAACGAGTGAATGCTCTTAGTTCGCAAGCTCTTTCTCCAGTGAAAGCTAAGTGTGGCCGTCTACGAACACTTAGCTAACGAGTTAATGCTAACGAGTGAATGCTAAGTTTAGCAGAACAAAATGTTAGTTTCTACTCGAATCAGAGCTTTCCTCAATTGTACTTTTAAAAAGGAGAAAACGATTTTAGTGACCTCTGCATCCTCACCCAAGAAAAACATAAGATTTTCTTGCAGATACTCTGTGGTAATTACATTCAAGAGGAGCAAATTGAAGAAAAAACGCTTTTATAGCTGAGAAATTTTGACAATTCACAATAATTTGGACATTTAAGAATTTTTTAGTTTTTATTTTTTTTTTCACGTGAAATCATTTTTCTGTAAATCTTGTATGCTTCCTAATTCAATGCGCGTAAAGATAACATTATGAGTTGACCTGCATTCGATACAATTGCAGAAAGGAGACACCACTCGATAGATTGATCAGCCTATGTAAGGTTTTCACAACTTGTTACTACCTGCCTATTTTTAACGCTTACGATTCTGTTCTAGTCATTAAATTGAACATTTATTTCATTTTTGATTTATAATTTTAACGAGTGAATGCTCTTAGTTCGCAAGCTCTTTCTCCAGTGAAAGCTAAGTGTGGCCGTCTACGAACACTTAGCTAACGAGTTAATGCTAACGAGTGAATGCTAAGTTTAGCAGAACAAAATGTTAGTTTCTACTCGAATCAGAGCTTTCCTCAATTGTACTTTTAAAAAGGAGAAAACGATTTTAGTGACCTCTGCATCCTCACCCAAGAAAAACATAAGATTTTCTTGCAGATACTCTGTGGTAATTACATTCAAGAGGAGCAAATTGAAGAAAAAACGCTTTTATAGCTGAGAAATTTTGACAATTCACAATAATTTGGACATTTAAGAATTTTTTAGTTTTTATTTTTTTTTTCACGTGAAATCATTTTTCTGTAAATCTTGTATGCTGCCTAATTCAATGCGCGTAAAGATAACATTATGAGTTGACCTGCATTCGATACAATTGCAGAAAGGAGACACCACTCGATAGATTGATCAGCCTATGTAAGGTTTTCACAACTTGTTACTACCTGCCTATTTTTAACGCTTACGATTCTGTTCTAGTCATTAAATTGAACATTTATTTCATTTTTGATTTATAATTTTAACGAGTGAATGCTCATAGTTCGCAAGCTCTTTCTCCAGTGAATGCTAAGTGTGGCAGTCTACGAACACTTAGCTAACGAGTTAATGCTAACGAGTGAATGCTAAGTTAGCAGAACAAAATGTTAGTTTCTACTCGAATCAGAGCTTTCCTCAATTGTACTTTTAAAAAAGAGAAAACGATTTCAGTGACCTCTGCATCATCACCCAAGAAAAACATAAGATTTTCTTGCAGATACTCTGTGGAAATTACATTCAAAAGGAGCAAATTGAAGAAAAAACGCTTTTATAGCAGAGAAATTTTGACAATTCACAAAAGTTTGGATATTTATAAATTTTTTAGTTTTTAGTTTTTTTTTTCACGTGAAAACCATTTTTCTGTAAATCTCGTATGCTGCCTAATTCAATGCGCGTAAAACTAACATTATGAGTTGACCTGCATTCGATAAAATTGCAGAAAAGAGACATCACTCAAAGGGCTGATCAGCCTATTTAATGTTTTCCCAATTTGTTACTACCTGCGTATTTTTAACGCTTATAATTTTTGTCTAGGTATTAAGTTGAACACTTATTTCATTTTTGATTTATAATTTTAACGAGTGAATGCTCTTAGTTCGCAAGCTCTTTCTCCAGTGAATCCTAAGTGTGGCAGTACACGAACACTTAGCTAACGAGTGAATGCTAACGAGTGAATGCTAAGTTTAGCAGTACAAAATGTTAGTTTCTACTCGAATCAGAGCTTTCCTCAATTGTACTTTTGAAAAGGAGAAAACAATTTTAGTGACCTCTGCATCCTCACCCAAGAAAAACATAAGATTTTCTTGCAGATACTCTGTGGTAATTACATTCAGGAGGAGCAAATTGAAGAAAAAACGCTTTTATAGCAGAGAAATTTTGACAATTCACAAAAGTTTGGATATTTATAAATTTTTTAGTTTTTAGTTTTTTTTTCACGTGAAAACCATTTTTCTGTAAATCTCGTATGCTGCCTAATTCAATGCGCGTAAAAGTAACATTATGAGTTGACCTGCATTCGATAAAATTGCAGAAGAGAGACATCACTCAAAGGGCTGATCAGCCTATTTAATGTTTTCCCAATTTGTTACTACCTTGCGTATTTTTAACGCTTATAATTTTTGTCTAGGTATTAAGTTGAACACATATTTCATTTTTGATTTATAATTTTAACGAGTGAATATTCTTAGTTCGCAAGCTCTTTCTCCAGCGAATGCTAAGTGTGGCAGTCCACGAACACACAGCTAACGAGTGAATGCTAACGAGTGAATGCTAAGTGTGGCAGAACAAATTGTTAGTTTCCACTCGAATCAGAGCTTTCCTCAATTGTACTTTTAAAAAGGAGAAAACAATTTTAGTGACCTCTGCATCCTCACCCAAGAAAAACATAAGATTTTCATGCAGATACTCTGTGGTAATTACATTCAAGAGGAGCAAATTGAAGAAGAGACGCTTTTATAGCTGAGAAATTTTGACAATTCACAAAAGTTTGGATATTTATGAATTTTTTTTAGTTTTGTTTTCATGTGAAAACCATTTTTCTGTAAATCTTGTATGCTGCCTAATTCAATGCGCGTAAAACTAACATTATGAGTTGACCTGCATTCGATACAATTGCAGAAAGGAGACATCACTCGAAAGGCTGATCAGCCTATTTAATGTCTTCCCAATTTGTTACTACCTGCGTATTTTTAACGCTTATGATTTTTGTCTAGGTATCAAGTTGAACATTAATTTCATTTTTGATTTATAATTTTAAAAGAAATCAAAATCAGACCACAAAAACTCAAGTTTTGAGCGAGAACAGTTTTTGAAAAAAATGTCCTAAAAACCAATGCAAAAAAACACAGCCAAAACAAGTCTTTTCTTCGTTTTTTGACACTGATTTACAGTATCAAGCCAACCTTGAAATGATGCCTTAACTGCTTGCAAAGACATCTAAAGAACATCGTATTTATGTAGTGAAATTTTTGCTCTCAATTTAAAAGTTTGACAATTGTTGTGGATGTGCAACCAGGCTTACTTGGAACAGTGGATCTGGGTTGACAATTCCTCTCCTGTGTTGGTATGTCCACACCAGATTTAATTTACTCCTCACGAAAACCAGCCACTCTTTGTTATCGTCCTGAGAGTTAAAAAAACAGTTTGAAAGTATCAGTGAAACATTTTTTATAGACGTTAAAGTTATTTATGAGACACACTGCTTCAAAAAGTCATTGTTTGCGAACTAAGAGCTTTAAAAAAGCTGACTGATTTGGGGAAGTCGTTGGATCGTCTGCACTTGAGTAAGTTCCTGGAGACGGAGTAGGGTCTCACTTGGAAGTTGTGGCCCCCATTGCCATCCACATGCACTAAAAGTACATCTACTGAAATCATCTGACCGGTTTAGGTTTTGACTACACCTTCATAATTCAATATACACTTAAAGGCGGTACTTTTTCTACTTATTATCTTTCTAAATATCTTTCATTTTCTAACTCAGTCAAAAATTTGTTTGCATACCTTTAAATAAACTGTTATAGTGCAAAACATCGCCGTCAGCGCGATTAAAAAAAAGCTCAATTAAAAAAAATTTTTTTAGTTGATTACAAACTAGATAACCTGTGTGTGGAGATCCATTAAGAAGGAGTAGTCTGATGGAGAAATGGCTGATGTCCTCGTGGGGTGTGAGTTTGACGTCCTTGAGACACAGCAAGGGGTAGTAGTACATGCATATCCGGATGTCCTGTTGTCTGTAATACACACTTGCACTTGTAGCTTGATACTGAAACAAGCACATGATTGATATAGAATTCCTATGATATTGAGTATAACCGGGGGCTTAGGGTGAGGGACAATGGCGAGACAAAAATTATGTTTTTTTTTAAATTTTTTTTTTCGAAAATCAATTTCTGAGAAAGCCTGCGGAGCGGACAATTTTTGCAGTAGCGGATCTCATTTAGGCTACTTTGCTTGGCCTCTTTTCATGTTTCGGAAATATATTTTTAATGAGCTTCATCACCAAAGTATTAGATCTCCGCTGGGGCTCAAAAGCGCTGTTGTTCCCAATTGTATATTGGCACAAAAAAGGAGTAATCGATTACCATCCCAGTACCAAAGATTTTCCGATGGCAGTTTTAATTAGATATGGTGATCAGATTTTTCTTATGAAAGTTTTCATTTCAACCGTGAGTTTGAGTTCCATCTTGATGTCTGTTTTGGCCGTGACCAGTCTGTCTGGCGGGAGGAACTCGAAGTGGACTGGAGCCTTCCCATTGGCCCTCAACTGCTCCTTGTCCCACTCCATCCTCATTGGGTCTGAAGAATCGCAACTTCTAATCAAAGAGCTCAAAAAAAAGTAGAACTAAGAAATTATTTGCCCAAAATAGTAACAAGATTTAAAAACTGCGGTTGATCTCATTCACGTTAAGCCGTGGTGTGGTTCGTTGTCAAAAATTTTGAACACTAAATCAAGGATAGGATGCCATGCAGCTTGCTTATCAAAATATCTAGACTTATGGATGGGAACCGAGATCCTTTCTATGTTCTTAATGCTTACCGCTGTACTCTTTCACGTCTTTGCCAGTCAGAATCATATCTGCAATCTTTGGTTTAGCCTGAAACACAGGTGTCACGTTTTTCACTGCAAACTTTAAAGCAATTGAAATGCTCCAAAAATTGCAAAAAATTGTGACATTTACTTATGATGTAACGCCTGTGAGCTTGGTAGAATTTTGAGCAATCTTTTCCCATCCAAAAGTTGACTCATTGGAACCCGAAAAAATCAAGTTGTGGATTTGGTATTTGGTTTCTTCAATTTCTCGCTGCCCATTTCTTTCTGAAACATCGGGTTCAAGGTGTTCCCAAACTTTAAGATTGCTTTAGCAAAATGCTCAAAGTATGAAATTTTACAAGAATTTATGCATTTGAAAAGCATCATCTAAAACAATTTTGATGGATAATTGCCCTTAATCTCGTCGCGAATTTTCTTTAGCCCCCTGTTTTTCCCACATTACCTTTCCCTCTGAGCTGAGGGTGAGGTTGGCAGTCTGTCTCTCCCCACACCACAACTCCACGTCTATCTGCTGATCCACCTCCGCGTCCCCCAACCTCAGCCTCATCAGAGGCACTGGCTCCACTATACGTGCACGCAGCACACAATCTGCAAAGTGAAAGGTTTTATTAACATTTATCAACTACTTTTAAACTCCATCTTTTGAAGTTAGAAATAAAATTGATGATAGAAAATAGTTTTGAAAGGTTTTTAAATGGGTAAATTATAAGTGGGCGAAATTCACAAAGGACTTCGCCACAAGAAAAATTTGTCAAAAAGCCCAATTAAAAGTTGTCAAAAAGCCCAATTTTAATTCTAAAAAGCCACTATGCGCCCTGGCCCGCTCACTAAAAAAAGCCTGTTATAACAACCTCTGTAAGTGATACCTTTTAAACAGTTGGGTGCTATTTTGTCTACTCCGACGAAGCACTTGTATCCCCCTAGTGCAACCAGTTGGTACCCCGTGAACTCCACATCGCCAGAGGCCACAGGTAGAATATCGACAGACACCTGAAGTAATTTTTTTTCAAATACTTCCTCGTTTAAAGAGAGCCACTGTGGGTTGCTAATAGATATGCAAAATCTGCATGTACAGTTTCCCTGACACACTGAAATTATTACTAATTTGCTATTTATACCTGCTTCTGAGTTCAAATCATTTAAAACTTTGTTATCAGTCATTGATAATCAAATAACAAGGTCATTATCTGGAAAGTCATTTTTTTGGTTGAATTGGTGAATTAGTCTGCATTTAAAATATTTCGATGTAATTAGAAGCGAGAAATTTTTTTTACACTTCTTTCTTATTTTAACTGATGTTTCTCAAAAAAGTAAAAAGTTTGCCGGCATTTATCGAGAAAATATGCTGCGAAAAATAAGCAATGAATATAATTTTTGCGTTGTTTTTGAAATAATTTAGGAGAATCGGCCAAAGAGTTTCATTTTATTGAACTCTTAAAACTTTTCTCTGAATTGTTTTTCACAGCTAAAATCGATGTTTTTTTTTTAATTCAGGGGCGGATTTGGGGGGGGGGGGGTCGGATTCCCTTTTTCTGAGGGATTCGACCCCTACCGACCCAAAGTGCTCCCCTTTGATAATTTTTAAGAAATCCATCCTTGGTGGCTGACTGACCCTAAAGTTTTGTAGTAACGCGGCGTTTTTGACCTGTTTTTTTTCTTCAAAAGTTTGCCTGCGGTAAAGTTTTTTTTCATTTATTCTTCAAAAATTTTCAAAATCTAACAAGGATAGTCGGTCCTTGTGCAAGTAGCACAAAATGTTCCAACCAAATTCCAAATTCTTTACAAAAATATACTAATTATTTTAAAATTGAATGTTGTTTTTTTTTGTGCGTGGTGTGATAAGGTTTAATATGCTATGCCGCATTCGACAATCAAATTCAATTGGCAAATTGGCAATAATTTTTGTTGAAAAATAACTAGAAAAAAATGATATTAAAACAACTCACTTTTTTTTGTTTTTTTTTTGCAGAAAATGTTTCGGATACTTGCAGTTTTTTATCCCAAAAATGGCGCTCTAATTTTTTTTACTGAAGAAACGCTAAAGTTTCAAGGCTTTTTTCTATAATAAGACTGCTAGCTTGCTTTCCTCGCTCGAAATTAGATTAAAACTCAAACCAAGTTTTCTCGACACTGGGGCAATTTTTATTAGCGTTGTTCGTATCAAGACTGAAAGGGATTTGATGTGACATATCACTCCACCCATTAAGATTATTATTTGCGGTAAATGGTTTTGGTTTAAAAACAAAATAATCCTGCTCGCTCACTTTATTCAATCGAAATTAGCCCAAAAATCAAAAATTTCAAACGCTTTTTTCGCGTGTTTCAAAACTTTTTAAATGTTGTTCGAATCATCACTGAAAGGGCTTTTATATGAAATATTACTCAAACCAATTCGATGATTATTTGTGATAGCTAATTTTACAAGGAAAAAATTAACACGCACCCGAATATAAAATTCCTCTCCATTTTTCAAAGGTCGGACCCTTTAGTTGATGCTGAAAAGGATGAAAAAAGCATGGCAACTGGGACATGTTTTAGCCTCCCTTGTTAAGTCATTTAAGACGACACATATGAGAATCATGAAAAGCGACTTGCCTCAAGTTGCTGTCGGGGTTCGAACTCTAGTTTGATCTCTCGTAGTTGAACTTCGGCGCCCTTGTATGCAATCTGGATGCGACAGGGGAACTTCACAGGGAGTGGATTGTAGATCACCATTATGAAGTGCTGACTCTCTGGAACAGCTTTTTCGGATAAGAGTCGATAAAATCGCAATGAAGAAGACAAATTTGCGTTTTAGTTTTGTATTCAATTTATCATTGTTTGATGTTCACAGACTAATTTTCAAGTGCTTTTTCGTAAAATCTATTATGATTAAGAAGCATCAAAGTTTTGTCAAACTTAGGCTGGGTTAATTTGCAACTCACTCAGCCGGCTTATATATATATATATATATGATCAAGTTTGTCTATTCTAATTTTGGATCAAACGCACCATGTAATATTGTACGGGTTCGCAGAAAAAAGCGTGCAGTGAAAACTTTTCTCGCCTTTCTTTGGCCACAACACTTCTGGTCCATTGTTCCCTTCCCCCTCCGTCCCTCCTCCTCCCCCTCCACCTCCCGCACTGCCTCTCTCCTTCTGCTGGGACCCCCTGCCCCTCTGCTGGTGGATGTACACATGCTGCTTCTGCACTGTGTGGTGACACCTGGGCTGATGCTGCACACTCTGTCGCTCTATGGAGAAGTGCTTCACCTGAAGATGAAGAAAATGGGAGATTGCTCAGGTCTGAGTTTGTTGATTCGAGTCTATCAAAGGAAGAAAACACAATTGGAATTGGGAACAATTTTTGAATATTACCAAACTCATTCAAAAAATCCATTTTTGAAAGGTTCCTTTATCGCCCCTGGCTTTAACAGATTAGTGTCCTAAGGTACCTGTGGGAGCTGAGTCAACTGCACAGGTGGGAGAGTGATCCTGGTGGTTATGGTTATGGGCGCATACTTGGGGGCATACTTGGTCACGTGGTGTGTCAGTTTGTCCACCTCTCTCTTCACCTCCTCTGCTGTCAAGTGGGGATGGTATGTGTTCAACACAAAACAGCGGTACCAGAACTCCAGTTTCTTACTGAACGAGAGAGAAGGATTTAAGTTCAAGCATTTTAAGTTGATTTCTTAGCGAATTTAATTTAATTTTTGACTATCAGAAACAGGGTGTTTTCAAACTCGAAAATCAAAAATGGCAGTATGTACACTGACTTGTTACTTATTTTTCCAAAACATGTGAAGCTAATTTTTTCTGAACGAGTTGTACTAAATTTTCAGATCAGGAGTAGTCCTGGATTTTCCAGTGGAAAGTTGGACATTATTTATTTGCGTCCATTTTATAATTTAAATTAGGTTTCTGCTTGATTAATAGTCCGCCCTCCCTGATGCGTTTCTCCATGGAGTAGAGTTTCATGGCACAGGGGATGAGTGCCTCTCGGAACAGTCGGCAGTGCAGGGCCGCCCACCCGCCTGCCTCCTCGGGGGAGTCCCAGTCGAACACCAGCTTCACCAGGTGAATGGGCAGGATCTGGTGGATGTACCGGATGCCAGCTGAAAAAGCATCAAAGTTGTCATCAAAAAGTCAAACTGGCAAGTCTAATTGGACATAAGTTAATATAGAAACCAATTTTCCACCAAAAAGTTCTGCATTTGGTTTGAAATTGAACGGCATTTAAACGTTGAAAAAGGAGACTCATAAATGTATTCTAAATATTTCAAGCAAAATCTTTTATGTCACTCAATCCCTACATGTGTTTTTGAAGTTATATAAAAAGTGAGGCTCCTATCGAACTGATGCATGTGTGTTTACCGAGTGGTTTGGTTCCATTCTTGCCAAGAGCACTGTCTGCAGTGGCGCAGAACATGTAGAAAGCAGCCTGAAATATAAAAAAAAACATTTAAAAACGACACTTCTGATCAGGGGCGGATTTAGGGGGGGGGGGAAGGGTGGGGGGGACGGACGCCCCCACCCCTCAGGGATTCGACCCCCTGTCGACCCAAAGGGTCCCCCCTTTGATACTTTTTAAGAAATCCATTTTTGGCCGACCGACCCTAAAATTTTTCTAAAGGCGCCTTTCGGTCAAAAGTTTCCAAAAAGTGCCCAAAAACGCCTTTTTTGGCCTGTTTTTTCAAAATTTTGCCTGCGGCGCAAAAAATTTGGCCAAATAGGGACAAAACCGTGCTTTGGGAGAGCTCGAAAAATCAATTTGGTCGACCTAAAAAAAAAGTCGTCAAAATTTTCGACAATTTTTAGAAAATCCGCCCCCCCCCCCCTCGAGAAAATCCTAGATCCGCCCCTGCTTGTGATCATTCTAAATTGGATCAGAAATGTCATTTAATGAAATGTAGCAAAGAATAAAATACCAAAAAATACATGAAATATTATTAAGTTTTGTCTGTCTGACCTGTCTGATGAAGTTGGTCTGGAATAGCAGATTGGCAGTTACAAGATTGGACCTGATCTTCACATGTTCTGGCAG